CCTTCTTCTTCTTCTTCTTCTTCTTCTTCTTCTTCTTCTTCTTCTTCTTCTTCTTCTTCTTCTTCTTCTTTTTGGTAACCAAATGATTTCTATTTTTCCCAGAAGTGGAATTTAAAATTTTTAATAATACAGTGATATCTGCTGTTTCTCAAGAGTTTTTTTTTTCAAACAAAGCTAAAATGCAAGAATAAAACAACTGCTATGCTGTTTTCAAGAATGTCAAAAACCCCTTTTTGTATTGCTTACCTTTGTCTTAGCTTTTTATCCATCTTCCTAATAGATGCAACAGTGTGGTTTTCTTTTCTTTTCTTTCTTTCCTCCTGCCTCTAGAAGGCAAATGCTTTGTCTTTGTGTCCCAAAAAGCCACTTGAAACCTCAATAAACGCTGTTGCCTAAACCCAACATATTCATCTGTTCCCATTTTATGCCATCTGCAGTGACATCTTCACATCTGCGGCCTCCATTTTCTGACACGGTGGGTCCCTCGAACGGCTAGTGGAACATTGGTGTCAGTTGAGAAGACCTCACTCTCAAACTAATAACAGGCTTTTGTGAACATATTCTAACCAAAGATGTGGAGCAATCCAAGCATAGAATTGCACAGTTTGTATCAAATTCTCTACATGATGAGCATAACCAAGTTGTTTAGTTTTGCTGTCCCTGTTTGTACCTGAAACTGACCCATACTTCAATTTGATTCAAAGATGTCAGCCTGGTGGTAAATGAAACTCGCTTACCCTAAAAATATTTGACTTGGATTGCTTCAGATGATTTGCTTTTGCTTTATTTTATTTTATTTTAATCCTGGGAATTTGTTTTAATCAAATCAGTGATATCCTCCTGCTGATGGGCACATACAAGCATTTTGCAAGAAATATTAAGCTTAGAAGCTCGCAGCGGCATAAGCTGGACTTTGTCGCCACTAGATGACAAGATAACAAATTTAAAAATCACACCTGTGTATCTCAAGAGACTTAATCAGCTGTCTGTAGTGAACAATAAATAAATAAATGGGCAAAAAATTCAAAAGTTTCTCCTGCTGGACATAAGGTA